AATTTCATACTCACGAAACACACCGGTATTAAAATCACACATAAATGCGAATTTAAATGCAAAATTGTTGACAAAAACAGTCGCACGATTTGTTTGGTCTTTTCTGAGAAGACTCTTTTCTTCTTTTTTTTTTTTTTTTATGTTGTTCTCTATTATTAAAATAATTCGAATAATGGATGATTCTTTTGCAATATATATCGATTTCTGACGGCGCAACGATGTATCTGAGACACTACAAAAAGAAGATAAGAGCTTTTTTTTCGATTGAACTAGTGAGTCGTGACGTAACGATAGAAATACACAATCACACCTCGCCGAGCAGAAAACCAATAACGAACGATTTTTACCGCAGAGATTTCATAAACAATGGATTGCTGCTCTTTGTTATCGCCTGGCGCAGTGTCGATAAAGTTCATCGCGTAGAGTCTATCGACCCCCCCCTCGTGCCAGCAAAAATGAGAGAGATAATTTAAGTCATTTCGGCTTAGAATATATATAAATTTATATATTGTTGCACCTCTTTGTTACAATAATATAGTATAGATCAGATTTATATCTACACCACTGACAAATAATTTGTTCAAAGTTTTTTTATTAAATGTTAGTATTGACGTAACTTGCGTGAAGCGCGCACGAGAGTTCCCGCTAATTAAAAATTAAAAGTTTGACATTAAATATGATATTAATTGAGCGTGAAAAATAAAGCGAGAAAAATAGTAGATACGAGAGAGAAATGTAGGTACGTAAAAAGAACAAAAGCAGTTAATACTTTTATATTTTTTATTTAGAACTAATGCAACGTGGTTTTGCATTTATATCTACGTAAAAGCACACATATACATGTTAATCCATAAAAATCGAGAGATAGTCGCAATGTATCGAAAGCACTGCTGCTTTTTTTATATTGTTACACGTAGAAGAAAATAGACGCAAAATATCGAAGTTATTATTTATTTTTTTTTTTTATGTTATTTTTTTCTCTTTAAATTCATCGTTGCGAAACACAACAAAAAATCTTCGATAACCATTAGGTCGTCTTTCGTTTTTAAATACATCTCTAAACGGATTTGAAAAGAGAAATCCTGATTCGATAAAATTGCTGAAATACAAATATATTTATCAGAAAGATCTCAAAAGATCAACAACAGTTATTGCGTTTAAAATATGATACATGAACTCTCTCGCCATGTAGTTGAAAATTATTAAATTATTTGTTCGAATATATGTAAACTCTGATGATCATTGTTTACGTCAATAAACATGGTTCAATTATTGCAATACGCATAATAACTAATCAAATTAATGCTTTATTAAGTACTCGATAGCGATAGTCGCAATGATACGTTTGTTATTGTTGTATATCATACTTGTATATATTACAAAAAATATATATACATATATATGAGAATATGTTACACACACAGACACACGCAAAATTATTGAATTCTGCATAACATAGATAAATACTCGGCATAACACGAATGTATATATGATATTTTTATATAGTTAATAGCAACTCTCTTCTCACGTATTATTGAATAGTAAATCGAATATATCGTAATATTGCAAATTGATTAAGTGCGCTAACCAATAAGAGGTTAAATTGAATGTGTGTTTCGCTGCATATATATACTATACATACATGACTTTCTAATGGTCGTGCTTTCCACTAAAGCATTCCACTCAAACGCAATATCATGCTGCTTTGTACCCCCTTACACTCGTCGGTAATTACATTCCCCGTAAGTTCCGACATGGATAGTAGAGAGAGAAGGGAGGGGGAGAGAGAGAAAGAGATAGAGAAAGAGAGAGAGAGAGAGAGAGAGAGAGAGAGAGAGAGAGAGAACACATACAAAGTTTTGTACATGTATATACGAGTTATCACAAACAGATATTAACCTTTTTTTTTAATTAGTCTTTACTTTGCGGCAATTGCAGTAATGGAAAATTTGATGGAAATTTTTAAGGTTCCCTAAATAAATATTGCGAGATTTGTTAAATTACATTAGGAAACTTTGCAATTGCGTACGATTTAAAAAAAGAAAAACAGTTTTGGTGAAAATATTTGTTGAAAAAAATTGCGACTAAAATAGAAAACCTGCGTAAAAAAGCATTTTCAGCGTGAGAATGAGAATTACATTTGTATGCGGTGTATATTGATAGTGATGCAGCTGGGATTTTGTTTTGGCAAGATGCACCAGAATCAAGGCGAAGAAGCGCGAGAGATGTGTCGTCATTACATTATTGTTATTTTAAGCTTTGTCACGCGTAATATTTACATTGGTATTTATCTGCGAACTGATTTATCTGCCACGTGCGGACTAGTGACATCAATATATATAGATAGATAATTTAGATAATATAGATATTAATTGGTTCTTGAATTATTAAACGCGCGCGATATTCGCACGTGATAAGTGTAAATAATGTGGAATCCCGAATTTTATCGCGAGCAAATCTTGACAAGAGAATTCAAGGACTTAATTTTGTTAAGCTTCCGTCAACTACTTTCGAGAGGCAAAAGTTATTTCGATATATATTTACGGGACAAGGTTTGAGTTTCCAAACATCGAAGGCTGTGTGTACGAACGTGTGTGTATTTATAAACCGCCCTCGTATTAAATTCATGCAAAAACAAAAGCCTTGACGCTGAGATATTAATTGGTCACATGTCTCTCGGCTGTGTGCAATCAATTAAATTACAATTTAAAAAGAAATAATCATTTTATTATATATATATATTGAAGCGATTGAAACTTTTCCAATATGTTTGTTCTTTTTCTTGAGAAAAAATTTATCTCAGAGAAAAGTTCTCTTTGTTAAAGAGTCCTAACTTTTTCTATTGTGATATTAATGAGTTTCTTAGTCGTCAAATTTATTGTCTTTTCTCAGTATTGCTTTTTTGTAGATAGTTTTGGATCTCCAATGATCTATATATTCCAGCAATAGAACGGACATTAAATAAATTAGGCCGAGTATATTTGTTGTGTGTGTTAACAGCAGAAGTTTGACTCGAGTAATTAAGTTTTTTTTATTCAAACTTACAAACTTATTCAGATGATAAGCTGAATAAGTTTGCGTGAATAATTATGTAAAGTATATTCTCAAGTAACACTCCTTTGCTTTTTATCACAATTTTTTTCTCCTAGAAAATTGCAGCAAATGTTAATTATTGAAGCAATTGTGAATGATCGCGCCAGTTTCTCGATTCTCACAAGTTCGGAAACTATAATTAATTAGACTGCGTTAGAAAAAGGATCTTTTTCAATTATTTACAACATTTACGGCTGTTCGATTATCTTAAATTAATTGGAACAGTTGCGCGACCATGTTTCTTCTTTAAAATTTGCGTTAATTAATTAACTGCGCGTTGACGAGTACGTAATTTATTGGAAATCGCTTTGCACCGTCACGATTCTACGTTATCTATCACTTTATGACTGGCACAATTATTTTGCGATAATGATTGAAACTTCGAAACTTGCGGTATATAATTATTAGTTATTTATTGTGGTAAAAAAAACCACGTTTTATTATTTCTTTTTTATAATTGTTACTTTTGTATCAATTTTACGTAAGTACGTTATTTGTTTGGCAACATATTAAGTATTATATAAATTTGTAGCATACGATTTTTTTTTTTAATACAATATATAACGTATACATTGTCTTATGTAACTTCTTAGTCACAAATTATTAGCAAGTTTCCAATATACAAGCTAATTTGTTAGTCACATTTATTAATAATAATATTATTATCTGAACATAATGCGTAAATTATTATTAGTTCTGAAAGCTTCTCAGAAACACAAACACAAACACGACCGAACGTACATCGTTGTTGTAATTGATTCGCGACAGGTGTTTGCTGTTTTGAAATTGCACTAGTAAACATACTTGATGCATATTCGTATGACAAAATGCTGTGAAAATAAAGCTACGCAAAATACGACTACATCAAGCGTATCGACAAAAGAGTAAATAGAATTACAATTGGACAGACACCTTTTAGCGTGAGAACGTCGTAATAGAATTTACAATTTGACAGATCGTTTGATCGTGAGAGAACTTTTGCACGCACAACAAAAATATATGTAGCAATAAGAAAATCGTGCTTCTGATTTTTCATTATCATTCTAGTTTGTTATTGTATAAATTCCGCGGTTTGTGTTCATTTCAATAAAAACGTACGAATGCAATCGTCTTGAACGATTTTTTAAATGGCTACCAAAATCGCGTAGTACACGTTCGACGGTACCGCATCGAAAGCCGCAAACGAAATGTGGCGCAGGCGCAATTCGAACCCCAAATAGCCGCAAATACTTATTTCTCTTGTCACGCAAAGCAATACCGTGCGACACGATAGGATCTCATTTGCTAAATATAATTTTCTCGCTTCGCGTATGCGACCTCGCTAAGCTAGTAAACAAAATCAGTTTGTCGACACGACATGGAACTAACGTGCAGATGTACATCGTGAAAATCTGCTAATATTTTGCGATACGAGCCTCACTTATATATCTTTAAAGTAAATCTATGATCGATAATTGCACATATTTGCGTACACGAAGTTTCGTCACTTCGAATCAACAATTTTCACAAAGTTTTCCGTCAATGATATTTTAAAATTGATGTAATATCACATTTCGTTTAAACACTTCAAATATATTGAAATTAAACATTCCCGCAGCTTCGACTTCAAATTAATTAAAATGTACTTAAAATTAATATATTAATAATAATAATGTAAATTTTGCAATTCCATTAATTAATAACAAAATTCCCTATTGATTTTATTTCTTGCACAGTGTTTAATTTCGGATTAAAATTATTAAAATGTACGCGACATATATATTTAAGCTCCGCTGTGTGACAATAAATTTATATAGAACCTTGTTTATTTTCAATTATTAAATATTATTTATCCTTTTTGAATCCTTGTTTTTGTTTTTCAATGCAAGACAACGTAGTCACACATAATATCGCATAGGAAAACTCACACGTAGCTCGGTTCTCCACACGCGATCCTTTGTATCGCTATAGTCCCTCGCAATTTCCAGCACGATTGCTGCTGTCAAGTGCGAAGAGCCATCACGCTCTCAAAGCTTGCACTCGTATTTCTCGTCACTCGCGCACGTGTACCGTAAACGTTATCACTGAATCACGGTGTTATCGCGACACGTCGCTCACCGAATCGCATATCAATACCGTACACTTTTTCACTCATGTGAAAACGAGTAATGGTCCAGTCCTGGATCTCGCAACCCTCGAACACAACATCCCCGGATACTTCGATTTTCGAGAACGCTGTCGATTCTCGCATTGCTTCAAGTGTCCCTGGATAATCCCTGGAGGATCACTCGAATCCGATGATTCCGTCTTTAGTCGTCTTTGATCAGGCAAATGGAAATTGATGTGATCGAAAGCACTCGTGTCCACATCCGAGGCAAACGAAGCAGCGGTCGCCAATCGCGCATTCTAACTTCCTAACGTTCTTCTTCCTTTTTTTATAGCAACGATCCCGGATCCCACATGGGTACACATTTGTGCCGCGATTTCGTTCACCTCGCACGTTTGTCCGCGCGTAAACGCCTGGACCCGTTGGGATTCATCACGAGCGGCGACGTGAGAAATTGGAAAGATCCGCTGCGTTGCCCGGCACAAGCCGGCGCAAGCTCCGAACCCGAAGCTTCGACTCCCAAAGTCGATTTCGCGAGCGCGCGGAAACATTCGTTCCTCTCTCCCTCCTTTCTGCCTTCTCTCCCTCTCTTTCTTTTTCCTCTCGTTTTTCCTGCCCTTTTCTTTTCACGAGTTTATTTTTTTTTTTTTTCTTACTTTCTTTCCTGCGAAGAAAAATGCAAAACAAACTTTGACTCGCACAAGTTTGCTTTCTTCTCGAACAAGAAATTTCGATTGCTCCCTTGTCAAACTGTCTTATCTTAAAGAATGGATACAGTCCAAACGGTAAGTGTGAGATGACATTGGAAGAAAAGGGAAAAGAAACGAGATACTAAAAAGAAGGAGTGGGAGGGTAATGGTGCGTGATGGAGAGAGAGGGAGATAGTTAAACAAGAGCGGGAGTTGGAAAGTGTGAGGGGGAAGGAAAAGCAGGAACGAACGAAGAAAAGAGGCAGTTTGAAGCACACGCGTATACCCGAACAAAGCTCGCAGCGTGGCGGGTCGACCGCGACTGAATCGTTGTCGAGTCGACGGGACGAGCTTGAATGAGCGAGCGTACCTCGAGCTCGCGAGTGGGAGAGAGAGAAACAGAGACAGAGAGAGAGCGAGAGAGGCAGCCAGATACCGGAGAAAAAAGGATGAGAACAGAGAGAGAGAGAGAGAGAAAGAGAGGGTCGTAGATGTATAACGTCGAGAGAGAGCTTAAGCCACCGGCCACTGGCGAAATTTTCCGAACCGTGCTCGCAATCTTTAAAGAGATCGCGCTTTTTCAGAGTGACAGCTTTAAGACGATTGTGAGTGTCGTGTCCAATAGCGTCTCTATGTTTCAAATCGAAACGTCAGCTGAAACTGCAACTTTCTCTTCTTCTCTTTCTCTTCCTCTCTCTCTCTCTTTTCTTCTTCCGTTCAACCCTTCCTCATAAAAGAAAGCTCTCTCTTCACGACGTCAAATTATTATATGTCAATTTTTGTACACTGTGTTTTTTAATATAAAACTTTTTGCGTTCCTCTATATTTTTATATGTATTAATTAGCCGTCACGTTTAACTTTTCGGAATTACGCGACCAAGCGCCAACTATTGAAAAAATAAACCTTTCCGGGACGTAAAAGTTGATATAAAAATGCAATTTCACTAGATATAGCATCATAAATTGCACTCTCATTTTCCCCGACTAAGTGCGCAAGGACTATATTATGACGAGGTCGCGGGCTTCCTTTTTTTTTTCTTTTTTTTCTTTTTTTTTTTTTTTCATTACGTTTTGCGCGGGGAGGCTTTTGTAAGGTTTTTTCTTTATGAAGCATTAAGGCGGAATAAAATATATGCAAGGTGTATGCGAGGAAAGTTACAACCGCAAATGGCTATAATTTCCTCTAAAGAAAATTCATAATTGCAAGAGAGAGAACAGCTACTCGTGATTTATGAAACTGCTAACAAAGTTGGCGAATAGTTTATCTTACCACAGCAAAATGCTCAAGTTTCGAATACTCACTAGTTTATCCACTATGAATCAACGAATACGCGCTCATGTTTATGAAAAAAAAAAAAACAAAAAAAAACAAAAAAACATTCAAAACTTTCAACGATAGCTTTCGCTCGAGAACGTTTTTTACAAAGTTACATTTCCGTTCGCTTCTTTCTAATTCGATCGGTAGTAGTTAATTTCTCGACCATGTAATCCGCGCGGCTCAAACAAAACAAAATAGAGTCCGTTGACTAACTAATGGGATACTAGACACACGAGAGGGGCCAACGACCAAATTCAATCGATATCTTGCGCTATACACATACAAAACAATGTGAACGAACTGAGAAACACACGAGACAATACTACGTAAAATAGAAAATCCTGAAAGAAAGAAAGGATCTTTTTCCACACGAAACTATGTACTGCCGGCGAGAACATCGAAACCCGCTAGATGGAAGTTGAAATTGCGATCTATTTCACCTCTCCCGAAACTGATGTAGCACGGAAAGGATTTTCCTCCTGGAAACTCCGTGATTGCGCCAGCTGCGCCCGTGTTAATATTAGATGTCACCTGTGCCGCGTGGAATTACTTACGACAAACAAAAAAATCTCTTTGGTTTGCGCGAACCATCAGTCTCTTGTTCACGTTTCTTTTTCTCTTTTTTTTTTTTTTTTTTTTTTTTTTATTTAATTAAAACAAATACAAGCGTGCCAACGCTTGTTCGCTTCAGTTTCGATGTAATTTTGACGATACGGCGAGAGATCGTTCGAACGGAAAGAATTATAGATGATACGATGTCGGCGATACGACAAATTCTGACCGAGGCGAGGTGAGTACACACACACGACGGAGAAGCTTTTAATCGATATTACATCAACGACTTGACGTACTACCAAATCGTTCTGGCATAATGCAACGGCCGCTCTTCAACTCTTTGAAAACGTTCACGTAACAGCTGCTCCATCGACTTTCGATAGTCGACCGAATATCGACATCCCAGGCCGAGAAACGAGAAACGTCATTGATGTGCAAACAATGAATAGGTAACGTCCACTCACAATCAAGTGTGTGTGTGTGCATATCGCGCACGCTGTCCGTGCAAGCTCGTATCTCACACATCGTTCGCCTTACGTATTTATTCGCATTTACACACGTTTGATAGGGCTATGGATTTTCGTCAAAATTTAATTTGCGTGTGCATCCAAATGCGAATTCGCGCGAGTAATCTCTATATCGCCTATCGTAAATTTTAAAAATACGTGCACGCGGGGTTGAACGGGAAGCTCGCGTTCTCTTATGCCCGATTGAAATTCCGTCGGCACGTCGCTCGGTTCGTTCTTCAAGACACGCGTGTTTTATCACAGAAATACCGTGCCGTATTTCAACATTGGAAACAACTCGCGGAGAGAAGGTGAATTATTTTTCCAGGCGGTCACGATGTCGCCCGCTGCTACGTCTCGATGAAATATGAATGATACCGTGGCCGGGGGAAAAAGAACTGCACAACCGCATTGTGTTGCTCGTCAAATAATATTCATGCAACGAGATCGATTTCAAATAAAAATGGTTTCAATAAATTCCTAGAATTTACGTTCATTATCTGTCATTCTGCGTGACTCTACAGAGAGTTGTTCGTTTCGATTTGAGATTCTTTCTTTCTCTCAGAAAATGCCTTTTGACAGCTCGAAATGTACAACTATCGGTATATCGAAAAAAGCTAAGTAAATTAAAATTTTAAAGAAAATGCAGTAAAATCTGCATCGTCGCGTCAATAAAAGATCTATAAAAAAAAAAAAAAAAAAAAAAAACCGTGAAATATAAAAAGCCGAAGTAAAATAACCTTCAACCTTTCTTTCGTGTTACTTTTATTTCTCTTTGCGAAACTCGATGCTTTGCGAGGCTGCAAAGACAAGCGAATAGGCTATAAAAGTACACTAAGCACACTAAATCGCTTATGTATGAATGCATCGCAACTTTACGGTTATCTATAGTTCTTCAAGTACATAGTTTTCCATACGTTCTAATTTTATTTCTGTGATATTGGGCCATGAGCACGTTACTATAGCATTGAAATTCTACTGTGCGTGTGTAAAGCGGAAGATAAAAAAAAAAAAAAAATGTTTTACGTGAGTTTAAAAACAATTCGATATGTCCTCAAAGATAGGATCTATGTGCGAACAGCTCGCTGATGTTGGTGCACGTGCAAAAGTAAAATTTGTTGTAAAATATAAATTACAAAAATTTTCAACGCGCATTGCGAGCACGAATTATAAAGTACAATTTCAAAATTTCAACGCGTACGCTCTTCAGACTGAAGTGGAATATCGAACAATGTATCGAAATGTATAATTCGTACGCGCATAATGCGCTGAAAATTTCGAGATTTATACTACAATAAATTTATAATTCACCAACAATCATAATTCGAGTTGAAGATCCTTTAACCAATTAATAATTATACTTGCCGTATGAAGATGCCATATTATGTCTGTCTCTGTCATGTTTTTCCTAAAACAGATAATATAAATATATGTGATAATATATATTTTAAATTATGCATCTTGATTTATTGAATTTATAATATAAATATGCGACAAATATATATTTAATTATATAATATATTAACTATAAATTAAATTTTATAATAATGTGTTTAAATTATATAATGTATTAGCTACATGTAACTATATATATATGTTATATTTATGGACGCATAAAATATTGTGTCACAATTTCTCGTGTTATTGAAACTTGAGCAATGCAGGGAAATGATGTATACGCGTGCACGCATTAGTATACTTCCTTTCTTTCAAAAATTTCTCTTCTATTTCTTGAGTATTTCTGAAGCTACATCGCTCAATGTCGGTTTCTTTCACATCATACTTTAAATCCGATTACATCAGTGCACGTAGATCGACTGTCATTTAACCGTCTGCATGAAATGCAGGTAAATACCTAGATGATTAATGTACGCGATTAATGTCCCAGCGTTCCGCGATCATTACATTTATGCGGTTCACAAGCGATGCGCTACTTTATTAGAGAGAGAAAAAAGAGAAGAGAGAGAGAGAGAAAGAGAGAAAGAGAAAAAGAAAAAGATGTTATTTGTGTGTTGGATGCTGTCGATGTGTTATATTTTATATCCTTAATTTTACAATAAAAATATTTCAAGAATTTATTCTAAAAATTGCTGTTCTCTAGCATCAGGTTTTAAAAAGGATGGAGAACAAGAAAGAATCATGGTAAACAAGTCACTTTCAGAAGTAATGCATTTATGTAACTATGGTGTGACAATAAATCAAGTTTGTTTGCAAACAATAGTTTGGGAAAACATCCGGTGTACCGAATGCGAAGTCGATACGTTCGTGTTGAACAAAAGGGGTCGCCTATGCGGTCAGTCATGCAGCTGAATTCTCTCGAATTGATTCGAGAAACGATAGTTGACAGCAAGAGAATAGTGACAGCGGCTTAAACAGCGTCGTCTATCACGTCCGTTACGAAAATGACATCGACATTAGCTTCCGAAATCGATGATGGTGTTAAGATCCGCCAGTTGAATCAGCATGTCGCTGCTTTCGTAGGTAAATACGGTATAAAAATATTAGTTTTTGTCAATATGATAATCAGTATTACAATTGGGCCATTTAAATAGAACGGTGCTAAAAACAATTCCGAGTTAATAAATTGTATTAAAATAACTCCTGTGATTTTTATTTGTACGAGAGTTACAAGAAATGCAAAACTACATCTTATATATATATATATATATATATATATATATCGCGTCAAAAAAAATAAAAGTATTAAAATTATTTTTCATCGGAGAAGTGGTCTGCTTTAACTACACTTTTTTTATCATTATATACTGTGCCATTTGTAACTTAAACATTAAACCAGGCGAGCAAGTCTCTGCGAGTTTCGGGAGAAGTACTTATTGTCGTATGCTTAAATCAAACTAAAACCTTAATTGCCGGAGCGAGCAATTAGCAAGTCAAGCGACCGTAAGAGTTTTGAGAAAGATAAATAAAGAAAATATCGAGCAGTCGAACGATAGACCTCGGAAAATGTATCGCAAACAGCAGTACCGTGAAATGGGACAGGACGGGGTTGGTCAATAAAACTTAATTATGCAAATCTGCTTCGCAAGTCGTATACCGACAAAATTATTAAACTGTTAAAATAAACTAACTTGGTTATTTGAAAATATATATAAAAGTAACTTACTATTATCGCTAAAAAGTTTACACGTCACTTATGAATATATAGATGTATGTGACTCTTATGGAATGTTAGAAAGTTCAAATACTCCACTAACATTTTGATTTTCAAGAGTTACGAGTACTTTTTTTCCAATATTTTGCTATGAAATTCAAGCTCTACGTGAGCAATATTCTCTTATGGTTGTATATTCAAGAGGTATGCTCAAGTTCTTCGTATATTCCTTACTTATAAAGCGGAATATGCAAACACACAGTTTTGAATATGCACGAAGTATTGATCCGTACATATATATTTTTTTCGATTACGCGACAAATATTAAAAACACTCTTACCTCAAATTATATGCGCAGTCATGATTCCTTTGACAACTTCAAATATGAATGAATATAATTTTCATGTAAACATACGCGAGTCATTTCGTCGCAAATGTTAGAAAATGTAGTTTTGCCTTGCGTTAAAAAAAAAAAAAAATGTCCACATAAAAGATAATCCATGTAATGAGTAATCAAATATATTAAAATATATATATTAAAGAAAATAATAATAAAATAAATAAATAATGTATTTTCTCTCTAAGAGGTAATCAGACTTGTGTCTACGTGTATGTGTGTGTGTGTGTGAAAATAATATAATAAGGAAATAATAATATTCCCTTCTTCTTCTTCCCCAGTAAACCGAGCAGTATATTATATTTTAATTAAGTAAAGCAACTTTATATAATAATAAAGCTAATATAAATTAACGACTCTCTTATTTGAATATTAGCCTCTCTCGGCGGTTTCGCATTTGGTGTCACAATCGGTTGGAATTCCAGCGCCGGAGAAGTCCTACGGAACATCTTGAGCGCAAGTAATATTGAAATCGGTCTCGTCGGTGGTAGCCTGAACGTCGGTGCCTGTGTCGGCGTGATGTTAACGCCTTTGTTCATGAAGCACCTTAGGCGTACCACAGCCATGTTAGTGACCATGCCAGGCTTTATCATCGGGTGGGCATTTATCTGCTTCGCTAATCAGAAAGTATGGTTTCTTATATATCTTATACATTAATTGTAATGTGGAACTTTTGTCGTAATTGCACGAGTATAATAATTTATTTTCGCTGAAGAAATCTTTAAATATATTGTTCAATTGCATCATTGCCTGCTTTAAAAAAAAAAAACAAAAAAAAACATACATATCTACATTGAATTTTATTTTATAAAAATCAGAAAAAAAACAGTAAAAGTATAAAAGAACACATATTCAATAAATATCTGTTAAATATACTTGTGCGGCTTATGTGACTCAAAAATGACTGACATTAAAAATCTATGAGATGATCGCGATATATCTTCGCAGGTTTGGTTCTTCATAATCGGTCGTTTTGTATGCGGCGTGGGTGGCGGAGCATTCTGCATTTTGACGCCGATTTACATCGCGGAAATTGCAGACAAGAATTTACGAGAACGGCTACTTATGTATTTTCATCTTCTAATTAACTGCGGAATCATGTATGCATTTCTGATCGCTCATATATTGAACGAATATGATTCCACATGGAGGTAATTGCGAAATATATTAGATAAAAAATTCGCGAACTAATTTTAAGTATTTGAAGATTGTATGATTTTATTTTTACTTTTTCTTCTTTTTTTATTATCTTTTATTATTCAACGTTATTTATTATTGATCTCTGTGTTTTGTGCTAACCTACTCGCAACGTTTCGATACGATACATTTAACGAAAATGCGGATTATTTAAATTTTTGTTTATTAATACATTTATTCACTCTTTGCTAAATATAAATTATTAAATATGATATCGATCAGCGGGGTATCTACATTAATTAATACAAGTAATATTGAATATATCTACATTTTTGGTTCTTCCAAGTTTTTGTTCCACGAGTTACACATAAATTTGCGCGCGCTTCCTACGTCAGTTCTAACAAATTAATATGCGAAGTGTCAAAAGTCAATCGAATTAGAGTTTAATCTCAGAGAAACTCATGGAACTATTAATAACCTATAGGATAATTAGGTATAGCCTCACTTGCGCCGTGTCGTGCCTCACGATTGCTCTAGTAAACCTTCTGCCTGAGAGCCCTCTCTGTTATCTCATGAAGGATAACGAAATTAAGGCGAAGGATTCTCTAAAATGGTACCGCGGCCAGATTTATGAAGACGACGCGGAATTGGAAGACTTGAAGTATCTCGCCGTGAGACGTTCGGAAAAAGTAAAAACACTCAAAACACTTGTTATCTTGCGTCGGGATTATCTTATTAAAAAAACGTTAAATAGAGAAAGATACGCGTTTTTGTTTTCTTTTACAGATTAAAATAAATATTCTACAAAACCGATACGTCGTCAAATCTTTCTTCGCGTGCTTCTTCGCGTTCGTCGCGCAACAAATGAGCGGTGTTAACACTATGATCTTTTACGCGTTGACACTCTTCAATGTTGGCGGATCGGGTGATCTAACTGGAAGCGAGCAAACTATCGTCATTGGCGCTGTGCAAATACTATCCTGTTCTCTAGCGACGGGTTTGATAAACGTGCTCGGACGTCGGATACTGCTTACTATATCCACGGTGCTTATGGGATTGTTTCTGATATTATTAGGTAATGACCTGTCGTGATGAAGCTATGAACTAAATCGGATGATACGTACACATCATGACTCAAATGTCTAATTCTCTCAGGACAGAACATTACAGACACATGAACGTTCCAAATGGTTGTTTGACGAAAATAGAATTTCGACCCTACACACAATCACTTTCACCATCGTCATCAATCATGTAGTCGTTAAATTCACTACTAAGAGAAGATCTTTCCTTGTTTCTCTCTCTCTCTCTCTCTCTCTCTCTCTCTTTTTCTTTCTTTTTAATGTCTATGAAAATCTTGAAGTTTTCTCTCAAGTGCGTAGAGGAGAGAAAGAAAACAAAAATATTTTTTTAAAGTTAAGTTAAACTTTAGACACGAGATTCCCAGAAGTGGTTACGTCAGGAAAATTTGCAATTTCCTTGTCTTCCGGAAAGAGTTATGGAAGTTCAGTTTTACACTTTTTTTCCGGTTTTACATTTTTTGTCGAGAAAGATTAAGCATGTTATGCATACATAGTAACGTAGGATTTAAGGCAATATTTAATCACGTTTTTTTTTTTTATTTACAAATTTATGTAAAATAAACGTAAAAAATATTATTATGCTTTCATCACACGCAATATTTTATCTGTGAATACTAGACACATTATATAGATATTACTTATAAATTATTCGATGTAAATGTGTCGCAAATCTTCTTTCGCGTAGATTTAAACAATAATTTAATGTAATGTGCGTGTCTACAAATCACAGCCACGTTTCAACTGGGAAAACGTTACTTTCGTTTAAATAATACTCCACGTTTTGACATTTACCGCGCACACTACATTAATACATACGTCAGAACCATTCACAGTCCGTGGCTCGTAAAAACAAAAAAATATTCGGAGAAATTCTCTCTCTCTCTCTCTTTCTCTCCCGTTTTATTCAGATCTACGAAAATTTTCAACATATATAATGGACTTTCCGATTCAAAAAGCATTATTTGTCAATCAAAAACCATGTAATTTATACGACACGTTATCTCACACTTTCCAGTTTTAAAAACTGTCAATTTTTGCAACGCAGAAATTCACCAAATTTCGACCAAATACGCTTCAAAGTAAAAATATTCTCAAATTGTAATATGTCGTTACGAATTTGTATTCGCAGGATGGTTTTACGATCTCAGAGATCAGGATCCGGAATACGACGATATCTACTTCTGGATGCCGCCGACCTGGACGACGCTTTTCCTCGCTGCCTTCAACGTAGGCGTCGGGCCGATATCGTGGTCGCTGTTGGGCGACGTCTTTCCCATGGAAATAAGAGAGACTGCCGCCGCGTTCGCAGCCGCTTTCAACTGGCTGCTGTCTCTGATAGTGACAATGACCTTCGGAGACATGCTGATAACGCTCGGAGTTCCGAAGACAATGTGGCTTTTCGCCGGTTTCTGCTGGTTCGCCGGAGCCCTTTGCGTTCTTCTTGTAAAGGACACGCGGGGTCGCAGTCTGACCGAAATACAAGCGAGTTTCCGCATCGAGAACGAACAAGTAGAAACGGTTGGAGCGGGTCAAACAAATCCAACGTGAGATATCATGTTGGATTTATCTGCGCGAAAAAATACGCGAATTTCTAGCTTAGATTTTGAGAAACGATAAAAGATAAACGTCTTTTTGACGCGGCGAGTGTACGAGCGATGATTTAATAACCTTTAGATTATTTTCTGTTCGATTCCAAAACTCGGGAGTTTTATCGCGCGTTTCGACGTAATCTCTGCAGCATACTCGAACCGTCGCATCGCGCCGGAAAGACCGCGAGAGAGCGCGACCCGAAAATTATGACCACATAAATCATGCAAATAAACGCCCGGTGGATTCCCGGGCGCGAGCCCGGGACAGAGGGGATATTGTAGAATTTCAAATCGCGCTAACTCCGATCGCTTTTTTTTTGTTCTGCTAGTCGTGACTAAGGTAATCAAGCACGAAACGACGTTTTACTTCGACAAATCGGTCAATCGACTTGGTCGACGGGCGCTTTCGAATAACCGCGCGACACTCGATAAATCCATCGATCTCGCCATCAGTCATCAAACGAAAATACGACGATCCAGCAAGAAAACGTATTACCTCATTCTGTACTCGCGCGATATTGGATGCGGCGCGTCCGCGTCAGCTGGCGACCCGCCAGAAAGCCGGGGAGATATTCGCCGTCGTATTTTGTTTCGAACTGAAATATCGCTAACAGATGTAACTTCGCGCGACAGTTTTCCTCGTGACAGCCTCTTGACAAAAATAACGCGACCAGCGGAAGCCATTGGCAGAATCGAAGAGTAATTTAAGGACCCCCCCGTTGATTTGTTGAGCTGATTTGCGCTAGTCAAATGAACGATCGTTGGAACGATCACGGAAATCGCGAAAGCGATTAGTCGGCAAACCAATATTCTTGAAAAGCACAATTCACGTTTACCGTAAACTGGTTACCGTAAACTGATTGCGGCGATTGAAAGTTAAGAGCGAGTCGCGAACTTAAACCACCGCATCCAGTGTAGCTGACTCGGACGGAATGCACTTTGCGAGTGTTATTGCCGCTTTATTTCTCAATAAATTACTATCGGCATTACTGTTATCGACATTCCTGTCTATGAAGCGATAGACTTAATCAGTGGTGTATTAATTAATTCGGCCGATATCGTGCAATTGCGCGAAATTCACGAAGATAGCGAATATATACAGGTAGAGTTGATGGATATATAACTCACACTGTGCGGTTGCGGCGGTTTCTTGCTGCTCTCCAGTTTATTCTCCATGCGAACATAAATCTAATGTCGATTTCCGCTACGTCTGATACGTCTGTGAAGGATAAAACAGCGATGTTAGATTTTATTGAATTGTCCTCGTGCGATTTATCTTTTGTTTTATGCAATACGAAATCAAATTACGTTCTGTCAGCCGGCTGTGTGGCTATACAGGAACTATCCTGTTTCTCTTTGCCGTATACATTTCGCCTCTTTCGTTTCAGTTATAATATAATTTCATTCGCGAGTTGAATATTACGTCATTCTGTAGCAAAGCGACGCGGCTGATGTATAAAACTAGACTAGTTAGATTTATAAGAACAAATTTTCCACAGTTATTGTTGTACAAAACAATATTCCCACGTACAACGTAAAGCTACACGTGCGTCAGAGAAATAAAGACGGAGAGAGAGAGAGAGAGAGAGAGAGAGAGAGAGAGAGAGAGAGAAAGAGAGAGAGAGAGAGAGAAGGGATCACCTTGGCCCTTGACACAGAAAATCTTGCTTAGACTTAACTCTTTCGTATAGTCGCCTTGAGGACTCTTCTAGTCTACCAGCAGCTATGTGCATGTACTCATTCAACGGGCAAGATCAAAAGCGCATTTTGGAGAGACTAGAGAGAGAGAGAGAGAGAGAGAGAGAGAGAGAGAGAGAGCGTTGATTTCTTTTTTTTTTTTTTACAACAGACTGAGGTTTAAAAATTACCTATGCGCAGTTTTTTTCTGATAAGGGACTCTTGGGCGCCCGCCCATTACATTATTACCCGTTGAATGTGCACGGGGACTCATTAACGCGTCCCGTACGCGTAAAGTTTAAATTGTCGAGCGATCTGCGTGTACGTCTTATCTTTGAGAGCGACGTGATTAGTTGCCAACCCTGAACTAAATTTGCTCCGGAAATTAATCCAATCAACGCAGGGTGCGCTGTGAGTTGCGGAATGTATCGTTTAACTGTTGAAGTTCGATCTCGGATCCTCAGAATTCAGCGCCACTATTTGCCTATCTTACGTTTTCCACTCTGTGTAACTTTGTGACGGATTGAGCCGATTCGGAATCGACATCGTGAAGATATTTGCACGTTTCATCCGACACGATAGATCGGTCTCAATTAAATTTAATATTGTATCGCACTCCTATACACATATATATTGTTTTGCTTCGTTCCGGAAAAAAGATTTATTATTTTTCTTGAGATTTGGTAAATGAAGTTTCTTTTCTCTTTACGCTATTTGTCTCATTGTCGTTCGTTCGTTCGAGAGAGAATTCTCTTTTCTAAATGCTCGTGAAAAAAGTACACTTCGACGCGAATGAATTATTCCAAACGCAAAAAGTGGAGAGCGATGTTGGGAGAAAAAAAAAGTGTCCGCGTAACGATGTCATTTGTCAAGCTTATATCGTTTCTCAAATGCTGATGTATCGTCTTTTCCTAGATTATAAATATATTGAGTGTAATATAGATTGTAACGCGCGAAATTTATTCATTCGCGTATGTTCGACATGATGACGATAATAAAACTCGATGCGCGATAACTTCTCAACTTGAGCTATAACAGTTGCTACACGTACTATATCCAACAGTTTGGCCAAGTTACAATATATGGCAAAGTATCCTTAATCCATCAAACGCCTCTCGTTCGCTAACGAACCCATCAAATTTTCCATTACCATCCTTGTTATCTATCTTCCGTAACTCGTCTCGGCTATCGTTCCGACGCCATCGAGAAACTACGTCTAAATTAGCCACAGGCTTTCACAATTAATAACTATATAATTCTTGCTCGTTATTATTATTTAATTATTGCAAAATATATATTACTTCGCTATGGGGAACCAAATTCTACATAACTGTATGCCAAAGAATTGCATTAATGTTCACTTATTTAATTCGTAAAATAATAAATTTTTTGTTGTCAAGCATCGCACACGGTGCGCATAAAATAAATTTCTTTTATTTGTAAATGAATATCTCGCTTTTTAAATAACAGTTTTTGTCGTAACGCAACAAAAAAAACTTTAAGTAAATATAAGTAGGTTAATGGACTAAAGGACCTATAGGTAACAAATCAACGAGAAGACGTATTGAATGACTGTTGTATTGATTTCTGCTTTTTCACACAAAAGAAATAGCGGTCTTACGGTATTTGCTTGATTTCGATTTCTCTCTTTTGAATGAGTTTCTGTACAAAAGTTTATAAAGTTTTATTTTTCATTTTTTTTTTTTTTATATACTTCTTTCGTTTCAACATATCGCCGGATCATGATGCTAAATAGTATAGAGCGTCTTACATTGAATTGATTTGACTGAAGACAAGAATGAAGATGAAATCTCGAATTTGTCGGTTTCACGTTTCCAGTGCGATCTCGAATTAATGATCAAACCCATACACACGCGCAAGCGTAATTAACAATACCTTATTACTTGGTTCTTTTTTATAATATCGATACGATTAAAATTGAATATATAAAAAATGAACACTCGCGGACTTTTTGTATAGCCTACTCATATATATTCATAGTTTCTTTCCGAAATTACAGAAACTTAATAAAGATTCCATACATTAATACATTTAAAAACGACTGCATATATCTCCATACATTTTAATTAATGAAATTGCACAGAGATGCGAGAGAGAAAACGGCGTTCGATTTTTAATTGCAGCGCACGACGCCAGTGAATTTAAATTGAATTTTATTCATACGTCTTCCCCAAAGAAAGCAAAGGCTTCTCATAAAATATGCTCTTCGTCGTAGATTTTCTACTGAGTAGGAAAATTTCGAGAAGCGCGCGCGGAAAGAGCAGAAAGCAAATTGCAAGTAGCGCGAAAGGTGACAAGTTAATCAAAACTTTACCGGTTCCAATTTTTTTCTTCAAAGCATGTTTAATCAAATAATATTTCAATATACAGAATTAAACTTTCATAGTGTTGATATTTACAAACTTATATATGTGTGTACGTATATCTTACACAACAATATATTCTTCTCTTCAACCTTGTAAGGCTTATTCGACTTTGCAATATTCCGCACCTGTGTAATAAAGAAACAATAAATACTGCGCCAAAACAATTTTACTGGTAAAATTTTTTTACGCTTCTGCATCTTTCCATCGAGTCTTACCGGTTACTCTCTGTATCCAATCAACGTAAGCTCCCACACGTGTATTGATAGAAGGACTATCTCCGCCACAGCCGATACCACCACTGATAATACCTATTAGTACGAGATTCCGTGTAGTGGGATTTTGCCAGAGGATAGGTCCGCCGCTGTCCATCTGCGGCAAAGTAAGAAGAGAACGCTCGTAACTTTGACATACTTTGTGACATCACGATACTTTGTACACTTATCCTTTTGACCATTTCCAAGTTTGCTAACTTGTCAAATAAGAAACCCTATTTCTCTCTCTCTCTTTCTCTTTATACCTGACAAGCATCCTTTCCTAGTTTGTAAGTACATATGTTAGTATATGTCACGTCAGAATTAAACGAATGGCATTTATGCAGACTTATTACGCTTGTGTTTGCTTCTTGTAACGTTGTCGCTTTGGTGCCGGCAAATTCTTCTAAACCCCAGCCTAACAATAAAAAAATGAAATCAGAATAGATGTCTACAAAAGTGTAAAACTAAATCGAAAATACTAACCTAACATTGTAGCAATATCACCACCGAAGGAATCGTATTGATGTTGGAACGGTAGACAGACCGGACCAACTTCGGCGCTGTATTCTATAATACCGATAATTTCACAAACAGCTATATCATTAGAAAATCCTTTGTAGAATGGATGTATCACGTAGTTGCTCAGGCGGTACACTTTGGTCGCGTTGGTTTCTTTATCTGCAAATTTATTATAGTACGTATTTAACATATATAAGAGAATTACACGGCGTGACAAATATTTAATATTGTTGCACAATTGTAGATATTTGTTTTCTTTGTCAAATGTTGATTAGATCTTAACAATTACTTGTAGTTACATCGTGTTCACCGATAACAACACCGAGATCACCAATATTTCTGTTCTCCACGCAATGAGCAGCCGTCAGTACGTGCTGTTTATCTATTATAGTAGCACCACAGTATATTTCTTTTCTAGTTTTGTCGACCAATCCAGCCATCATGGTATATTCATTTACGCCAGTTTCGCTACCGCCCACTATCCTCGTCTGAGCAAATAAATGATATTTTATCATCGGCATTAGATAACTTCTCATTAACTTTGTTACTTATTAAAATCGCTGACAGACTCAAAGTCAAAAATCTCTAAAGCAAATAATACTTTATAAAAACAATATTTATCTGTTAACGAACGACATTTTACATTTCAACTTACTGGTTTTTTCCAGCCACATGGACAATTGTATTCATCGAACAATTTCTCAGATTTAATTTCGCACAAAAATCTACCTCCTGATGAAGTATTTGGTGAATTGAATTTTATAGTCGCGCTTGTTTTTCCTTTGAGCTCAAATGTGCCAAAACCACAATATTTTTGCGCTTGTGATCCAGCAAATTGGATGGAAATACTATCAGCATTGCAATTATAGCTCTATAAAATAACACGATAAATTATTCAGTTGATTTTTTTTTTATATGTTTAAATGAAAATAACTGAATTATAATAATTTTAGAGAAAAAGAGAAAAAAATCTTAGAGTAAAACTATATACGACGTATTTATACGACAAACTTACCTGTGGCATTTCAAGCATGCAATTTACTGTAATAACATCTAAACTTGCTACTTGCCATGTACAGTAATTTTCACCCTCATAATTATGAGGATATTTGACATTGTATGCATAATACGTTTGTCCAGGTTGCACATTTTGAAAGAAGTTGCAATCAGATTTAACTCCACTCAACACCGCGAAAAAGATCGGTAAGCCGAATAAAACTACCTTGACTAAAAAATAATTATAATCATGTATTACTGTTTGATAAAAATTTGTATTGATAAAAAGTGCTGTAGATGATATATGATGTGCGATTGAAAACAGCTTTTCAAACTTTACATGTTTACAAAAATCTGATTTCTCGCCTTCAATTTTCACGTGACACTTGTGCTTGTTACGTCACATGTATTGAAATTATTATAATAAAGAAGATTATATAATGTGTATACACTTTACTCAGTTGGAGATGACAAATATGTATTGTTAAGTACATTGAACTCAATAAAGAAGATGTTTCTCAAACTTTACTCAGCTGAGTAACATAGAGTTCGTTTAAACATCTGATTTTATACAAATGATTTGTTAAAATGCAAAAGTGTCTTGTCTTCACACGTAGAGACGTTAAACATTTTAACATAAAATATAATTTACTAATTATCCAGATGTATTATAATAATTTGATATTTAATGTTTTCGCGATGTTTTATAAGAATTTTTAAAGATGGTGCATTTCTGAACTGTGATTTAAACCCGAAAATCTTCAGGAATTATTATAATAATTAATCATTTTATGTATGTACATAATTCAGCCAAATATTTGAAATCGTTCATTATTCAACTATCACATGAAAGTTTAATGAACATTTAATTATTAATTGGATGTCAATTTGTCAATTGTATAATGTTATTATTAATATTTTAATTATATTATTGATATGTAAAATTTTTTCTGAAATATATATTTTACGATAACATCTTGAATTCTAAATATAAAGCAATTTGTTATCTCAATTAGTCATTATTAAATTATCAATTATCTATCTAAAACGCGATTTTATGTTTATATAATTTCTTTTAATTATGTACATTTGTATTATATATATTAAACTATCATGTGAAAATTATATACATATATATATATTTGTTCTTCTGCTAATATAAGTAATAGTTTGAATACCTGCTTCCATCTGCCAAAATAATCCGCGCTTGACGTCTTAAAAAAAGCTGCCTTACCGAAGTTGTTCTGACAAACAACCACGCTATATGGCAGAACGTCTGCTTTTATCCCGACACAAAGATAAAATAAACCCGAAACTGATAATATCTTAGATGTCTTATCTGACGGTTACAACTCGCAAGTGGATTTGCTATAACAAATGTGGATATCTTCGAAATAGCGCAAATGTAATCCCGAGTTTCGCGAGATAAGTGCATTAAAAACATCTCAAATAAGTGATGCGATATATCAAAGACGCGCCGATGTTTAAAAGGAATATTCAAACGAGATTAAAAAAGATATTTTTTTTTTTTTTATACAGAGATATCATTAACTTAATATCATTAACTTAATGGCTGAATTGTTTTGCAGTCTTCTTATATTTTCCGGTGTATATTTAGATACATAGATAGAGAAAATGGCAAGAATCGATAAAGGAAAGAGAAAAAGAGATGCGAGAAGAAACTAAAATATTTTTACATGCGCATATTTGCTAAGTTACTTGTGAATACTTCAACAATCTATTGAATTCTGTCTCTATATATGTATATTTTTGTTATCATTTAAAAGACTTCGCAACAAGTCATAAACATCAAGTTTCCTATATATCTTTAATAGTTTCGAGGAAAACACATGTGAAGAAGTTGATATTGTACTCCATATAATAAAGTTATAGAATTATCAAACTTTACGCAGATCGTCAAAGCTCTTTATATACAATAGTGCAAACAAAAGCAGACTATGTATAACGCAACTCTTCATTATAATTGCCTCGTTAACATTAAATCTTTTAAAGAATTATAAACTTGCTTTAACTATTCTGAACACAGGTATCTCTCTCCTTGTTTTTTTTTTTTGTTTTTTTTTTTTTACTTTGCGAGAAAATAAAGAATACGTAAGTACACGCGATTTGATCGATCTATCTTTTATTATTTTGAATTTTTACGTACTCTTTATTCCGTGAAACTTCTTACAAAACTTCATTGTTGGATAATTTTCCGTCAGCAGACAAGTTCTGTACTCACAACTTTCACAAACAACCGTACAAAAGTGTTCCTCTTATATATATATAATATTGTACACGCGAAGCGTATTATATATATGCAAATGTCTCCTTAACAATATGCACGAAAACAATTGTCTTCCCCAGAAATCGACTGTTCTACGAAACGTAATAATAATGCTGATAACGCGCCGATAATTGCGTCTGGTATTACCTTGAAAAAAAAAAATCTATTCCGATTTTATTATCACATATGTATTGTATGTACATAATATTCTAGCTAAGGAGGTAATAAATGATGATAAACACTTGTGTGTGCATGTACACACACGGTTCAAGTAAACTTGTTATAATCAAAATTTGTTAAAAAATATTATAAGAAGATAAATGTTTGTTGAAAAATACATATATATATATATGTATATTACGTATCTCATATTTTATGTTAGAATATAAAATATAAAATAGTTCGTAAAGTGTTTACTTCTCAATTGTTTCATATTGGTAAAAGTTTACACGTAAAATGACAACAAAATATAAGGTGTGTGATCGAACCTATAGTTAACATTTCTCCATAAACATTTAGCACATACTAAATTTACTGATTTTTTTCTAGTTGTTAATATTAATTAATGTTAATTTTATCTATGATTACTTTTTACTTGATATTATAGGAAATGAATTGCATGTATAGTAGATTAATATAGTAAATTAATTTGCATTTTTTATGGCACCATTACTTTTAGTCTTTTATAAAAGCACTCTTTAAAAAAAAAAAATTTTTACGTGCTTAAAGCGTTAATTATTGGTGTTTAATTTTCTTTTTTATTCTTGTTTTAAAAAAATGACGTTTTTTTCGCACATATTTTCTTTCATTAAAAATAAATTAGGACATACTTAGAGTTATTAACACAAGAAGACTTTACTTCTAATAATTAGTAGAAGTTTGTTATATAATCTGTAGATAACTAAACCGTACAATTAATTTTCATGACAAGCACTTGAAAACGATATACGTTACATTACAATAAAAAAAAAATATGACGACTAAAACTTTTTGTTTGTCTTTTATTTACCTATTTTTATCAATTGTGCGCGTGAACTTGGAGCATGATTGTGCCCTGATAATTCTGATATTACAACAGTTTTATAGATAAATCAAGTTGTCGCAGCCTCAGAGAGTGAGACATGATAAATGATGATATTGCATTATTACAAAGTACTGACAAACGATAAAATAATGCAACAGTTACGTACGTATCGTACAAACTGTATCCTATCAACAAACATTGTAAAGTCACATTAATATTTATAGTGGCGCACACAATTATCCAAAATGTTCCGTTCATAAATACAAACACGGAGTATTTTTTATCGTGTCCGCAAAAAACGGCCGCAAGCGCCCGCTGCAAATTCGCATATCATATATACGCAGCATTTCAGCGTTCGCAAATTAACATTGTACTTTACTCGTATTGTAAAGCTCGCAAAAAATATTTTACATTACGTACGTTGTTTGCCAATTTAAAATCTTTTATTTATTTATTTATTTATTTATTTATTTTTATTCCTTTCCAATCGAGAAAAGGAATAAATTAAATCTACCGTACGTATCAATTTTCGAAAGAAGCGTCCGAATCGGTGACTTTGTAACTTCTTCGCTCTTGTATTGGTTTAAAATAAAGACCACCACGACGCCCGGCGCAACGCTCAAACATTCCACAAGAAATTTCCAATAGCGAACAACTGTAAGCGTTCGACGAACGTGACTGTGTTGTCTGTTAGATCTTTTAAGTCTGCCATGGGATACACTATACCGACTCTGTGTGTGTGTGTGTGTGTAAATCTGTCTGTGGCGGAAGTGGTATCCTTTCCCCAATGATTCTTTCCGCGCTAGGCAATCCGTTCCTCAATGCAATCAGTAATGGTATCGACGTAACCCCTCAGATGGATGGGCTTCGCCTATAAGCCCTCGAAAGAGAGATCGTCCGGCATCCGTTCCAATTATCTCTCTCTTCCATCGTGTTGCAATTTATGTGATCGTTATATACGTATACAACCCTTTTTCTGTGCGAACGTTCTTAATGTCCCTCAGAAAATCTCACACACGCGAGCGCGCGCCGTGTAATTGAAGAAATCGTAATAGAATTTTAAAGAAAAATCTCTATAAAATAAGTAAAAATGAGATATAAAGAAAAGCACGATAACAAATGACATGACAAAAACTTCAATACTTATGTCGGAGGCGATCGTTAAAGCGATTTCTTGAATGATACATCTCAACACGTAATTAATCATCTCGGTTCTCTGTTTTTTTTTCTCCTCCGTTTTTTTTATTTAACTTATTTCCAGTCTTTGATTACGACATATATCGTCGTGCATTGAATATGAATAAATATACCGTAACAACTTGCTGATGCAATCAGAGCAGAGCGTCTGACCGGAACTAAATGTAACATAATTAAGCGTTCTCGACGGATTATTTGCGCTATATTTGCGTATTATTGTTGCGTATATAAATTAATGTGCCACGAGCCATCTCTCTCTCTCTCTCTCTCTCTTTCTCTCTCTCTCGAAGAGCTGAGGTCGCGGTGATTGCGTAAAAATTCTGCCAGTTTTGTTCACTCACACGATAATTGTCGCAAACAATGAGAAATTTTTTGCATCAACGCAAATACATATTCCAAATGCGGGGAGAAAAAAATGTTTAAAAAAACGACAATAATTATAAATAATCAAGTGAAGAAAGAGAAATGCTTTTTGCGGACTGTTTCAATTAGATCTCACTGTGTTCCGCGCGACATGTCTCTTACACGTTCAGTTAGTTTCCACAATACATGGAGATGACCATCGTCCTCTAAGCTAAGCATGCCCGTCAGACATTTTCCCTGATGTATGTTGCATATTTATGCAACTACGGTTGCTCGCTGGGCTAAATTAATATACCCGGATTCCTCTTTTGTGTCGCGACGTACAAAAGCGATGAAAGAGCCCTTGACGATTACCACGTTAGCGGCTTATTAATTAACGTCGATGCACGCCCATTAGATGAACACGGGCTTGTGTGTGCATGTGCTTGTCTGTGTCTCTCTTCCCTAACAGTTTCCGCAAATGTCGTCGTTGTCGTCGTTCGTCGTGATGGTGCGTTCCGTGCTTATTTGACGACGCGCAAAACCGGAACCAACACGGGAGAGACCACCGGCGTTAAAATATAATATGTGATATTTTGTAACAGCTGGCGCGTGTTTCACAGTTGCGCGCTGCAAATTGCGTACTGTGTGCCGAAAAACAAAGCGAAGTCACTGGCGCGAAGTCGGCGATGAAATTCAGAATGCGCGCTAGCGAAATCGCACATATATAAGCTATCTGAAATTTTTTAGTAAACACAGAAACGCGCGTGACGACGACGACGACGAACGGACGAATGTACGGGACGAACGCGAAAATTCCAAGCGAATTAAATTTTTAATTAAAAAAACGGTTCTTTGACCGATTCCGTTTCCCCGGAAACTAAACTCGGTCTCTCGCTGGAAAAGGTGGTTATTGTTACGTCTAATAACTACCTTTCCCGCTGAAATGAACTTTCCGCTTTAATCCGATTTGCTTCGAATGTCATTCACCTTCCCCGTATTATGTCCTATTGTGTGTCTATGTGTGTACATGTGAGAGCTTGTGCGAGGAGTTATTAAACTCCATATTCGCGCTAATGGAGAATTATCTGCAGGAATTTCTAATTACAACAACTCGCTCGCACATTTCGCTCGATTGTCATTTCTCTGATCGTATCTGCGCGCGATATTCTATAATATATTTGTCATTATAGTTCAACGAGATGTGATTGAGGTAACAATCTCGCGCTGTATATATCAATAGACAGTTTAAACGTGAAAACGGCCAGTAAACGTGACCGCGAAGCGCGGGCGCGTCTGTATCAAATACTCGCGGGAATGATCGTTCAAAGCTTGAAAATTTCGGTGACCACGAGGGAATTTGGCGGAACATTCGTATAGAGAGAGAGAGAGATAGTATACATATATCGTCTATGAACCGTGACGATTTATGTATCTACATAGAAACTCCGGAAGCGAACCGCAGGGTAACACACACACACACACACATAGAGAACAGGAGGAAACACATAAGCTAACTAGTTTACTCTTACGTATTCAGTAAACTTCCGAACTGCGTTCCATACATTCAAGGTTTATCCGTGAAAAGGGAAACGTATTGCATATAGCGCAGCGTAATAACGAAAGTGTTTATATTCAACAATCGTTTATAATTATTCTTCGGCTAAAGAAAGAAAAAAAAGATCAAACAAAGATATGGGATACGTCATCACGCGGGCGTGAAACAATCGTGTTTCGCAACGCATAATCGTGATTACTTTGTTGCGTTTTCTCAGAAATTTGTATTAAAAAATATCACAATCTTTTACACCAACTCCCTCGTGTGTGCGACTGAACACGTCGCGCGCTGATTACGCGCGCGTTGTTTCTCTTGTAGAAAATTTTTATTCTTCGCGCGTCGCGTCGCGTAGCTCCAACGACGACATTGCTAATCCTTACAAATCCCTTATCCCGTGCAAGCCGCGTTTGAATTGCAATGCAAAAGGGGGCAAACAACGACGACAGACGGAACTAATCCCAACAGATTGCGCGCGATGTGTATGCCCGTATATTTGCGCGAAACTCTTCAAACGAGCGTTTAGCGCAACGCGCAGGGTAGAACGTTCGAATGAACGGGATTTTGGGGAAGAGAGGGAAGAGCTGCTCGAGAGAGAGCTAGCACCCCGCGCTAGTTCGTTGCCGCATTTTATCGAGCGATAACAAAGTTAGGAACCGCTTTGATATGATGTAGGAAAGTTTCATTAGCATTTGGTTTGGCTCTCTCATGAAATATGGAACGCGCTGCTTCACACCAGGAACAATTGATTCATTAGTCCGGCAAATCGAACTGCACAGGTCCCTCGAGTGGAGAGAAAGAGAGAGAGAGAGAGAAAGAGAGAGAGTGTGTGTGTGTCGTACTCTTCAGGTGTGAACATCACACAACAAATGTAAGAAAAAAACATTGTTCAAGCGGGGAACCACGTTAATCGAGAAGGATATAAAAAAAAAAAAAAAAAGAACAAAAATGTCGTGCAATTTGTCAAAATGACGTATAAATTTAGCGAGCGATTTGGAAATGTTAATTCTTAAGTCGGCTTTTGTAAAGAGATTTGTGGGGATGAGACGGAAACCTATTTAAGTTAACAAACACGAATATTCGTGACCTGCATGTTAGTTTAAACGCTACTACATCGCGGAAATGTATTTCAAGAACACAACAGTGCGTTTTAAGGCGCAATTCTGAGCGCGGGCGCGCTCTGCCGCGAAGCAATTTCTAACGAGTTACCGAAGCGCGGCCTGAATAACTTTTCCAATTTAGCCACACGCGCGGCTACTATTATACTAAACGACAAAGTGTTACTTACTATTATAGGTAACTTCAAACAAGCTACTTGCTGCTAAATCGTTTCTACAACAGAACACAGATTAGTGTGTTCCGAAACACACAAAATGTGCTTCTTGCACAAAAATATATCTCTCATCGATATTCGGAGCACCGACAACTTTGTAGCACCACGGGCGACACGAATTTCTCGTTCTTTCCTTTGATCATTCCTTTCGCACATCTAAAATGTACAACGAAACTATCACAAAAAAAAATCTGTATAATATTGCACTCGTAATTGTAACAAAATATTTTCCGCGCAACACGCCGTCGTCAAAAAGAAATTACGTCGGAATTACACAGCACGGAGATGTATACTTTACACTAAAAATCTACACACACTCAGATACTGTTTCTATTCTTTATTACACATCATAAATTTGCGCGCGATACACAATGGCTTGTGGACAATAGCCGGTGGCGTTCCATTTGGCTATCAATACCACCAAAACCGCCAAAGCAAACTAAATAAATTTGTACTACACGAAGTTTGCGCGCGTCTATTTTCATAAATGAGATTACAAGTTTTTTGTCGCAACGTCTTCACGTTATATTAGAAAATTCACGTTGTTATTCACATTTTTGAATTTTATCTTCGAGCAAAGTTCAGAATTACTCGAGTTGGTAGTCGTCCCACCAACTTTGCAAATTCTTATTCAAATTGACATTCGTATTGAAATTTGCGTCGCTATTGCTTCTACGATACGGAAGATCTTGATCGGGAGGGCTTCTTCTGTTAATTTTGATAAACGATCGAAGATAGGGCGGAGGTAAGTCGTTTCTGCTTTGCCTGCGGTAGACACGAGCGTCATCGGGAATACCATACATCAAATAGTCTTCGGTTATGGGTCCGTTAGATAAGGAACGCTGAAAAGGCACGTGTGGGAACTGTGCGTCCTGCGTGTAACATATCAAAATACAAAATCATCATCTGGAGAATAATTTAGTTCAAAAAAGTTTTTGACTACACGAAACACGAAGATATAGTGCTGATAGAGCTGATGAGAAGCTTTTTAAAATGGCGTGTGACAAAGTTTCAGTCGTAATCGTAAAGCCGTAAGCAATTCCATCAGACCAGTGTTATCTTACATTAGTTATACAATTATTTGGTCTGTGATTGGTTGGTTTTTGCTTACGATCTTGCGACTAAAATTTTGTCACGTGTAATGGCCGTGTAAGAGTCGGAGTTTCTTACTGAGATTGCGACAGAGAACAGAAGCACGAAAAATACTCCGAGATACATCGCGTAGATAGACTGAATCTTGAAGTTGACTTGTACGTAGAAGCTCGACTGTTGTCACCGACTGTTGTCGCGAGCACAATATAGTTTTCTTATCCTTTTATAAGATTTCGCGTCGGTTAATATAGAGAAAACTCATTATCGCTATCACGCGCACGTATCGCTCTCGAATAAAAGAACAAGAAATTGCTCCTGGCTTGTATCGCCGGCAACAACCGAGGGGATAGCCTCGGTTAGATTAGGAACGCGTCGCGCCCGACGACGGTGACAAACGACATCGTTCGATTTAATTTCGAAACACGATTTTTACACGGGATAATAACAATATTATCGGGAATGAGCTTGTCATATTAATTAGCGCTGCAATTAAAAAACAAAATTAACTTTATGTCGTCGGGTGGGGACATTTATATTCTTCCGAACGATCGAACGACAATTGTTTTGTTGGCAGTTAGATCGGCCGCGTGTGTGTTCGTTGTTGGATTGTCGAAATTTTCGTTACCATTGAGTTTTCGAGTTTGCAATAGCGCTCAATAGCGAGATACGACAATAGCTCAATTCTCTAACAAAAAAGATATTCTCTTTCTTGACTTACTTTCTTTCGTGACTTATCTGCCGCATAAAAAAATAATAATATTATTCGCAATAGTGTTTAATTCACAACGTTTCGAAGATAAGGGCGGGCAAGAGAGCTGCGGGCTTTATATGCTCCATTTTACGCCAGGAGGGATACAGGATTAGGAGCCTAGCGTAGGTAAATTCGAGGATAAGCTGGATTAGAACGGAAAGCTCTAAGGACGAAGTTAGTCCTACGGTATTATTCGGTCAGTTCGCGGCATTGAGGTTTCAAAATATTTGCAGCCAACTATGAGATCTCTCTTTCATTTCTTATCGGTCGCACGATTAATGCCACGTCCGTAAAAAAATTTCCAATCTCTTTGTATTCACTTCAGATATATTATTATTATTATTATTATTATTCATCGCGCAATTTTTTACATCTTATCGGGAACAGTTCGCAAAGAAAAACGACCGAATAATTTTATGGTCTGTCGTCGTAATATTCCGCAAATGTTTTTTTTTTTTTATCTCGTTTTTTTCCGCAATTTATATTTTAATAAACTTGCGGGAAAAAAATTCTAATTACGGGAGAAATAAAAGAGTTTCTCTTTTTTTTTTTTTTTTTTTTTAGAAGACGGGATAAGATATAAGTTACATAAAAGCACACAAGCTTCTGAAAGCTTTGCTCGCGAGAGA